TTTTTTTTAGTGTTCTGTCTGACGACAGGTACGTATGAACAGGATCCTTCCCTCCTTTTCTCGGCCTGGGACCTGTTCATATACGTTCTTGGCAGATGATCCAGCAGTGGTTTGCCATTGCCTTCTTCTGTGTGTGAATGGAGTAATTGTTGGGATGGCACGGAGGAAAACTCCGTGTTGCCTAGACCACGGTCTTGCCCAACACAAGTTATAAATTCGAACCCGAGACCCCAGGCTTACAAGGCCAGCGTTCTAACCGCTAGACCACCTCATCTTATTATTATTTAGTGTTCTGTCTGACGACAGGTCCATATGAACAGGATCCTTCCATCCTTTTCTCGGACTGTCATTAGCTCAGATTATATGGTACTGAATGCTACGATGAATAGTAGATAATAAATTGGCAAAGATGTGGGGGGAAGTCCCTGTGGCCTAGGTATTTTCTTCGTGAAAATGAGAAAATCCATAAAAACCTTCGTCTAGTATTTTTCACGAAAACTTGTCTGTGAGCTGAGATTTGAACCGAAGATATCCCGAATATAAGACATGAGCGTTAATCACTCAACTGCAGCTTTCAGTAGAGAATTAAGATGAATATGTGGATAATCTGAAATAATTCTGTAGGCATTTTTTTCAAGGTCATGTGTTTTATTCATGTGTCTCGAAGAGCATACATAACTTGGTATTAATCTTGCAACATCTGAACGTTATCTTCAGCTGTGTTGTAAGATTTCAGGAAAGGCGAGTAACAGCTGTGGAACAATTAGATAAAATTAAGCTTCATCACACATTTTGAAGAGACGATTTAGTCTCTTATCTGCGGTAACAATTTTTAATAGTTTCCTCGAAGGTTATTGCCCTGTGTGGTTTAGTAGATGTTTAATGATGTTACAAAGGTTTCTTGATAACTCCATCATCATCGGAGGCAGCAGGACCTCTGAAACACTGGTAATCATCTACCAGATTACACAACGCAACAAACCAGAAAACAGCCATCTTGAAATCATGATGGATTTCTTGTATAAATTATATGGCAAATCTTTTTTTTTTTTTTTTAAATGAATGTTAAAGAATATTCCACAATTTAAAATTTCGTTGAAAATCTCATCAACGTCTTTGGATATCTTGAAACTTTACCTCACACACACACTCATTGTGTCCTTGTGTTCTTCCAGACTGTGCTCTACTTGATCGGTGATACCCGAAATCTTAAAACTCACCTACAGATGACATGTTCAGAAGAAACAACATGACCACCAAGTTCTTGATGGTACGCTTGTTCTTCGTGAAAATTATTACCCTGAATGTTCTATGTGTCCTTTTAAGTTACGAAATTCTTACAATGCTTTTGGTTAGTTACGTTACTCGTTCATGTTTCTAATCTTATTAGTAATAATGTACAAACGCAGTTAGATCTCATACTTAAAATTATATCACATTTAAATTTCTAAAATCCTTTCCACATTTATTGATAAACACATTGCGCAAATATAGTATTATTTAATGAATTCTCGGGCTACCAGCCGTGTCAGGTGGTTTAATGGAGTCGAAACGTCGGTGTTTTCTCTATGGCTGGTGACAGGGAGCCAACTCATGAAGTTTCGTAAAAAAAAAAAAATCTGAATTGCATACGACATAATGCACTTACAAAATTAATAATAATATTTTGGATACACTGTTTTGTGTACCCTGTGATTATTATTATATAATGAATTTTGTGGCGTCTTGTGACTGATTACCTTTATTGTACAGGAATACAGAATATAAACCCACGTGATACATAACAGGTCATTTGTACATTGTAATCACAGGATGACTAAACTTAACTCTCACTACGTACATAACAATACATAGAGGCGAAAAGGTGTGTGCATGTGTACAGAATCCTCATAGGCTTATATTGTTATATAGAAACATTAAAGGCCTTCTGCTACACTAAACATACGCATGTGTACAGAATCCTCATAGGCTTAAATTGTTTTATAGAAACATTCTTCTGCTACACTAAACATATTAGAATGTAGTTTTATTTAAATTTAAATTTTCTTAACGTGTCAGGATAAAGTTAAATTAAAATTACATAACCTAGTGTTCATGTAATTTCTAACCTTATCGTCAAAATCAAGCATTTTCTATGTTGTCAACAGTGATTGGATTATAACCTTACTGTATTTGCAGGACTTGTGCATTGCGCAGGCGCGGGAGAAGGGACCTACAGCGCCACTCGTAGCAGACGTCATCGATCAGCCAGTGGTAGTGACTCGTCCCAAGCCTCAACCAGTGTTCATCCACCCGGCAGTGCGTTAACATCGTACCATCAACAGCAAGGCTGTGACTCGGCACTAGGTTCATCCGCCACGTTCAGCAGTCCACCCCACAACACAACACCATCCATATGCAGTAGCGATGCGGGGCATTTCAGTTCCCCTCCCTCCTGGGCATCCAGTCCACCTGCTTCGCCTGATTCAATAGGTACAACAGTGAACTTCATACCCGAGGAACTAACCATCGGAACTCAACAGCATCACTCACAGACTGCAAGATTCTCTATCGCAACTTCATCAAAAGGCATTTCACCGCAGATGCCATCTTTAAATCAGGTCATTCCCCAGAAGACATACAAAGAAGTGACGCCTGCGATCCTGCAAACTGTGACGTTCACGTCTACAAGTGAATTACAACAGGTACAGAGAAGTGACACGGGAAACGAGAGACAGTCCGATATTCAAGGTTCAAAGTTAGCTATTCATAAAGTGCATATTAAAAAGGGGGAATTACCAAAGAGTGCCAGCACTTCTGCAGTTGTCAGTAGCTTTAAAAAGTCCGTGGATTTCGAATCGGGACCGGAACAAAGCGATAGGAAGCTTACGACAAGCATTTCCAGCATCGGCGGTGCTGTTATGAGGTCGAAGACGGCAGACATTGAGAGGATGCTTAGAATAAAGGGAACTGAGGCTTATAAAGTTAAGACAACAACACAACAAACACCTGTTCAGGACGATAAGAAGAAATATTCTAAACGTCGTTACGTAGATTCTAAGCACCAGACGAGGCACATACCAGATTCAGAGGCGTTGCTCGAAGACTCTTCCACAGGAGGGGCAGGTGTTAGCGATGAAGACGCAGCTGTGATTCGACAAAGGAAAAGCCTTCAGCAAGGGCCAGTGTGGAAGAGACGTGAACTCATTGCTAGCGATCCAAAGGGCCGTGAAAGTGCATTGTAATTTCATTATATATAAATGTAAAAAGTTGATATCTTGTGAAATCGAGGAACAAAAGTAACTGTGTCTATTGAATCTCTCGGTGTCTTTTGGGTGTGTATAAAACGATACGTAAAAAACACACTTCCTCTACATACCTTGACCTTAAAGGCACTTATGTTACCTGTATGAAACAATGAAATGGTCTCTGTATTATGAAATAATGCATCTAGTCTTACCTAGTCTCATACAGAATAAAAGAAACGGAGATAAATATTAACAAATGGTCTTGATCAGGGTTTCCCACTCTCATATCTCCCTTAAAAAAAATTAACTTTCATCTGTGAAAAAAGGACATCGATATCCTGCGAAATATATTTGTGCTTGGCTAAATCGGAAAGCTCTGTCCCGTCACGTCGTAATATTATCACAAATTTTTTATTTATTAATAATAGTAAAAATGCTTCTATAGGCTTCTTAGATTGTTAGAGATTAATTTTCAATTGAATAATCCATTTTAAGGGGTGGGTGTTCCTACTAACATCATCCGGAAATTTGTAAACATTTTTAAATATATAGCCTTTGTGACGCTGGACTGGAATTAAGTTGGCATTTAAATGCTTTAACGCACAGAGAGGACAACAAAATAAATTGTAACCTAGAATCTCCATATAAATTATAAGCTGCTATGGACTCATTCATTATCTCTAAATTCACGTTGCAAAGAACGCATGAGGATATTATGTGTATTCTGGTATGAAGTACACTTTCCGAGTCTGTTTACATTATATTCGCGTGTTTTAATTTCTTATTCTTTGAATTTATCCTGATACTGTAGATTCAGAGTCAGAAAATCTTGGAGTCGACTGTACTTCATTTTGCTGTTTGTCTAGTCTGCTGTGTGTTACCTCTCAGCGAAGTGAACAAATCTCTCTCACTATCTTTTGTCGTGGTTTTGATTACATTGTCAACAACACTGAATGGTCGCCAAACAACAAAGGAGAAAATGGCATAAGTCGTCAACTTCCATACCTGAAGTTATCCCAACTTAGCAAACACATTTTATGAACAAGCTGCATTTTTTTTTGGTGTGTGGCAAGCCTGCTCCAGATAAAGAGATTGGGCCAAAGAAATGCATTTCTTTTGAATCGATATCTTTGTTTCTATCTCTCGAAGTAAATATCCAACAACTAATGCGACAGAGTTCCTTTGAGAAATCGAAATGCATTCCGACATGGTTTCAGACAAGAACTGTTTATTTCCTTTCACTCTCGTAAGTGTACTCAAGTTGACTGCACAGAAAAGAGGACACGACATGGCATTCAGGAACAGGAATACGAAAGAAAGTCAACTGCGTAGGAATGAGATCGAATTTATTCCAGGTACTGACGACGAACACTGACGAAACAGACGTGGAGGAGGATGACCTAACAAAGCAACCCCAAAGGATGCCCAAAACGATGTAGAATGCTGGGTCAGACGAACAGGGGTAGTCATGACGAAATATATGACGACCAGACATCACCTCCACATGCATCCGAAGGGATGTCCAAATGCAGGCAACCGATAGACAGGTTAAAGAAGAAGGTACATCAGTTCACTGCTGACACCTGGCAGAAGACAGAACGTGGTACCCCACATCAACAAGGACTCGACTCTATGCTGTATTTTGTATGTTATTACTCTGCTGGTGGAGACTAACAGATATTTCCACTAATATTTGTACACAAGCTGTATATGGACCACGAAGTCTCACAGCAGACCACAGGATTCAAAGGAAAACGATTTCTTCTGAATTGTTGGAGCGTTTTGATGCTGAGGGAGAGGTCTTTCTGTCCCGGATCATTACAGGTGACGAAACCTGGATACACCACTTTGAGCCAGAGACAAAAAGGCAGTCAATGGAGTGGCATCATCCTCAATCACCGAGAAAGAAGAAATTCAAGTCAACTCCCTCCGCCGGAAAAGTCATGATGACTGTCTTTTGGGACAGTGATGGGGTCATTCTTGTGGATGTGATGCCAAGAGGTGCGACCATCAATTCAGACGCGTACATCAGGACCCTGAAAACCCTCAAGAAGCGTTTTCGACGAGTTCGGCCTCACAAGCATCCAGCAGAAATTTTGCTCCTGCACGACAATGCACGCCCTCACACAAGTCTGAGAACCCGGGAAGAAATCACCAAATTGGGTTGGACGGTGCTGCCCCATCCACCCTCCGACTTTCATCTCTTTGGGCCACTTAAAGATGCTATCCGCGGAACAAGATTTGAAGATGACGAGAGCGTGATTCAAGCAGTGAGGACATGGCTACGTGCACAGGACAAGAGCTGGTACCGGCAAGGCATGCATGCCCTTGTTCCACGCTGGCGTAAAACCGTACAAGTTGATGGGGACTATGTGGAAAAATAGTATGTGTAAAGGAAACATTGATTTATATTGTCACTAAATTTGAGCCATCTTGAATAAATATGTTCTGAGGAAAAAAATGTGGGGCATTACTTAATGAGCGACCCTCGTACATTCAAACGACATGCGTGGAGATATACGTTCTGGGCTGAGGTCTGGAGAGATAAACGGGACGTGTATATACTACAAATTATGTACAATCCACCAGCAACTTGACGGCAACTTTTATGACAAAAATGGAAGCACTGGTGAGGACAATAACCGGTATTGGGATGAGATGGCAAAGGTGACATAACTTGATTGAAAATGCTGAGAGTTTACATTGTTCCCAGCATCCCATGGTAGGCCATTTGTCATTGCAAAAGAAAGTTCGAGGTAAATTTCAGCAATAAATGGCCAGTTCAAAGTGAATTGTCGCACCTGTTCCACAAGAGGGATACGAATAATGTTGGTATTATCTGCCCGGAAGAGAGCGCAAATGAAACGTTATGATTTAATGTAAGGCTGTGTGATGGTGAGTGTTTCGAAGTGTACCGCAAGAAATACAAGGTGTGACGTATTGAAGAGAGCTGCAATCCCACAAAACGTCTGACCAAACATGTAAAAGGAAATTTGTCGTATTTTGCAGTGTTTTCCATTCAGTGAAACGCATCAGTGTTGAAGCGCACGAAGCCCAGAGCGTGGATCTCTCGTAAGTAAAAGCCTGCATTTTCATTCCAGAAACTTCTTAATTTAACCCTAGCAAGGCCCTCTATCACAGTTTCCCCATAATAAATGAGATAGCTGAGTCTATCTCAAGCTGAGCAATGCGTAGTTAGTTGAACCATGCTCAGATATCACAGCCTAGCTGAACTGAATTAACTCGGGTTATCAAATCAACATGAACCAGCTAACCCTACCTCAGTGCCAGCTCAGGTAGCAGAGTTTGACTCAACAGCTTGGTACAGAAGCAAGATGTTGAACAGTGAAGCTTGGGACCCCAGAAACTTTAAAGAATAATTCATGTTTGTCTACTTTGAGTCTAATGTGTGTTTAGATGCCAGTTATTCAGTATATCTACATATTTATTAATAAAACATCAATAACATCACATATGATGTATACTACAGTTTTAAGGATCTATTAGTCTTCATCACAAAAATGTAATTGAAACCATTGCACTTGGATAATATATGAAGTACATGTCATTAAATTTACTTGCAGCTACATTACATACAAACTAACAAAATACACTTAAAAACTAAAAATAAATACACAATACAGGATTGCGTTTTCATATTAAGTACATTACACCTTGCAGGAATACTGAGTCACGCTTACGACAACGATGGCCGTCCTGAGCAACCGCTGAATTGCACTTGTGACCACTTCGAGTAAATTAGACTCAGTAATTTTACTTGTCATCAGTAGATGGCATTAGAATCTTAATCCATGACATTTCAGGTTATAATTTTGTCCATCAAATATCAGTATACAACTTCTTTCTTCTGAAATAGTTGAAATAGACAATAGAGTTGTCCTGTTTCTCCTTCCTTTCTTCTTTATTTTTCTGCTGTACATTTGTACTGAAAATTTAAATGGTCACTCCAGTGTGCCACTGAAATGTAGAATGCTTCTTTTGTTTTTGAAACATCCATACATAGTGCTTTCACAATGCCAAACCTTATAAATTATAAGTCCTACCTACAGTCTTCTGTTTGTATCAATACGTTATTTAAATGGAATGGTACAAAACTTTTAACAGACTTCCTTGCCACCACAAAGTCTCTGGCTTCAGTAACGCATGGGCACATACT